TTAAGTGTAGCTTGAGTTTGGCTGAATGAATGATGAACAGAGTGGTTTATATAGCAGGTACTCAATAAGTGTTTGAACTTTAATTCAAATTAACCCTAGATAGATACTCTGCCTGGGCTTCAGAGGTGGAAACCTGAGTTTGCAAAGATTATCTCTAAATATTATAACCAAGAAAAACTCTGCAGTGTACAATGGGAGACAGGAATAAAAACATTCATAAAAATACACTTTATGATAGCGAAAACCTAGGAAAAAAAACAAATGTTCAGTGACAGGAGAATGAAGAACTATGTATGGTACAGTCACACAAATATTACACAGCACTGAAAATGAATGAGTTGCAGCAGTATGTAACAATATGAATCTTTTTTTTTAATATATTTTATTGATTTTAGAGAGGAAATGAGAAGGGGAGAGAGAAACATCAATGATGAGAGAGAATCATTGATTTGCTGCCTCCTGCACCCCCCCCCACTGGGGATCGAGCCCGCAACCCAGGCATGTGCCCTTGGCTGGAATCGAACCCGGGACCCCTCAGTCCACAGGCCGACGCTCTATCCATTGAGCCAAACCAGCTAGGGCAACAATATGAATCTTATTAATACAATATTAAGTAAAAGTAATAATCCATCAAAAATTACATATAGCAGTACTCCTTTATAAGGTTAAAAAAACTCCTAAATTTTTAAAAATATTAAGTTTTAGGAATATATATAGTAGTAATAAATACCAGATAGCTTAGTTGGGTAGAGCACCATCCAAATACATCAAGGGTGTGGATTCAATCCCTGGTCAGGGCACATTTGAAGAAAATGAGAAAGAAGAAAAAAAATATATGTACATATGAGAAAAAAGAATTATGAATAGCTTGGGAGAGGGTGGAATGGGGATGGACCACAGTTAGATTTTAGCTATTGCCTAAATCCTAGCTTTCATGTTGATGAGTTCTTATGGTAGTGTTATAAGTAAATAAATGTGTCCTGTGCATGGAGCAATGAAAAGAGTGTGCCATAAACCAAGGTTATGATTAATCTAATTCTGTGTATCTGACATCCATTAAAGGTTGTCAGGCAGCCTTGGTTGTTTGGGAGCAATGGGAAAGGATTCTTCTCTCCCATCCCTCTCTGGGACTTTTTTCCAGGGACTAACTCAGGTTCTCCTTCTACAGAGGTGAACTGGTGGCACAAAGGTATGGCAGCAGGAAGGGGAGTTATCCAAAGTTTAGCTACTTTAGGAAAAGGATCCCAAAATTGATGGGGAAATGGCCCCTTCACGTTTTAAAAAACGTGAAGGCTAGAGTAGGAATCTGGAGGTGTGGGTCAGCTTCCATTCCAATTCAACTTAACCCATTCCCCAGGTTAAGAACTGCAGGGTGTGTAGTTTCCCACCCATTTCCTGTTCTGCTTCGTTGAAGACCTCAGCGTGGGGGTGGGGAGGAGTTTCATAGGTGGGTCCTGAGAGAATGGGACTGTGGTCACAGGGTAGACAGTCATTGTAAGCACTCGGGGTACTAGGAACTGGAATAAACAGGGGCCAAAACCAGCATCTTTGAAATTCAGCTTTGGGATTAGGGAACCACTGACTTAAAACTTTTTTACACATTCCTTTCCTTTCAGCCTGGCCCACAACATGCCTGGATCATCTTCAATACCTCCTATCCCTCACCTCCCTGCTTTCCCTTCATCTAGGCTGTAGTTCTTAATCCTATACCTTCACCTCTACATCTACCAATCCCCCAAATAGGCCCTACTTTATGAAAAGAAAGGAATAGGGGAGGCCCTGGGAGGGTAGCTTAGAACCTTTCACGTTAGGGGATGGGACTTGAGGTCAGATTGAACTGGGTTGGGCTGGCTAGGCTGGAGTCTTACCTTTGGGGAAAGGGATTACAGAGCAGACTAGAGTGGGCTAAGGATATTAAAAGGGCTGGAGGTTGAGCAGTCCTAAAAAAGTGGGGCTAGAAGTCAGGCTGAATTGGGCTGGGATAGGAAACATGGGGAGTTGAGCCCAGGCTGAACTGGGAGTCTGGGGTTCAGGGCCTGTGCCTCTGCAGTGGGGCCTAACTGGGCCAAAACAATTTTTTTACGTATCATGCTGGGACCTGGGACAGGGCCCTCACCTGTTCCTGAAAACAGAGAGGATGAGGGCCTTGAAGGGACTCTCCCTTCCCCTATCTCAGCAACTCCTCTTGACCAAGGTCCTTCCTCAGGGTGGTTGCTGGGGCCAACAGGGAGGAGCCAGATCTGCGGCTCCAGAGGAAGTCTGCTGGCCAGTTTCCTGAGTTCAAAAGTAGGTCCCCTAGTCTCTCTGACACACTCCCTTCCTCCAAGCAGGGCAGAGTCCAAGCCTGGCAATTCACCTTTTTTTTAAATCTCCCCGCCTCCTCCAACATACACACACACACACACACACAATGAACCTTCATATGCCCAACCCAGTCACACAACTGCTGCTTCAACAGCCCCCCAAACCCAACACATACTGCTAAGCCATGTATTCATTTCTGTATTTGAATGCATTCTCATTTCTGTATTTGTAGCCTCCCACTCACACTCAGCGGTCATGCTTTCTCTGCCTTGTTCAGAACCATATCCCTAGCACCTAGAGTTGTTCCTGGAACCCAGAGAGAGCTTTGTGAATATTAGCTGAATGAATGAATCCACTAAGACACATACCATAAACAAATGCATATACTATCCCACATACATATTCACACATGCATCCGTTCCATTACATACACATATCTAAGTCCTCTCCCATCTCATCAGTCACATATACACATACAATGACACACGCTCAGGCAAAAACATTAAATGTACACCTAGTACCAGACAGACACACTGCAAGGTGTTACCTAGCACTCCCAGGGTGAGTTGGTGGTAGCAGCTGTCTGGCCAATGTCCTTCAGTCAGGTCAGGCCTGCAGAAGAGGAGTGGTGCATTTGTGTGTATGAAAATGCAGGCTTTGGGGTCCTGAGGCACTGGGCAACAAGGAGCTGCGCTGGCAGCAGGCAGGGCCAAGATCCCTCCTAAATTGGAGAGGGGGCAGGGTAGGCCATGAACTGCTGTCCTTCTGCTAGCTGGGAGGTGAGGGTAGAGACACAGGTCCATGAGGTCTTACTTCAGATCCAGAGAGACCTTAGTGGGGGAATAGTCTGAGGCCTGTTTCCCCTGTCTGGGATGAAAATGAGGGAGACTGGGTAGGGGGCTTTGTAGGTGCTGAGACCCCATTCCCAATCCACAGTAGGGTGTCCCTGTCTTGACAATCCTTTTTAATGGTGGGGGAAGAGGGGACTAGAGGTGGGGAGTTACTACCTAGAAAGAAGTTTAAGAAGTGCCCTATTCCTCTTTCCATCCTTCTATGGAGCGTCAGGCTGCTCGTTAGCAACACCGCTTAAGCATTCTCCTCTTTCCCTCCATGCCCCACCCAAAGCCAGCAAGGAGATAAACAATCCCGCTCTGACTTGAGACCTAGGCAACTGGGCTGGTTGGCCTCCCTAGTAGTGGCCTGAAACTCACGGACTGAGCCTCCCAGCACTCTAACCACCCAAAACTCCTTCAGAGACCCTGTTCTCCACCCCACCCCCACCCCCACCAGCCTAACCCAGGGGAGGATATCCCAGGAACCCTGCCTCAGGGCCACCTTTCTGGCAGCCCTAAGACAGGAGTGAGGAACAGTTGGGGGAGGGGAAAGGGGGAGTCAACTTTTGAGGGACAAGCGGCCAGATTGGGATACATTAGAAGCAACACCAGAATGATGAGGGGGAATGTGAGACGGGAGTAAAAGGGAATCCACAGTCCAATTCATACCTCCTCCCCAATTGACTGGTCTTAGGACTGCAGGAAGGAGGAGAAAAGACTGCCTTGGGCAGTCATTATTGGGCACCAATGACCAACCAAGACACGCTCAAACCCAAAAGTCGCTTTATTGATCTGTACCATACATGACTCAAATGGCCTTCACTAAGGTAAAATGGCCAAAAAAAAAAAAAAAAAGAAAAAAAAAAAGGCATTACAGTTAGGGTGGGACATCCATCTTCCCCACCCCCTTCCCTCAGCTCCTGGCACAGTACCCTTCCAGCAGTGGCAGCTAGAGTGAAGGAATCAGGGTGTAGAGGGCCCCGGAATCCAAAAGGAAGAGTGGGAAGAGAGGTGGTACTAACACTTCCGAAACTGGCAGCGGGAAATGGCAAAGAAACCAGAGCTGGGCCCAGACTCATAGGATCCGGCTTTTGGCCTCAACCTGGGCTCAGAGCTTCCACCTGTCCAACTGAAATAGAGCTGAGGGTCCTGGCTGCCTTCCCCTTCCTTCTACAAGACCAGGAACTGGAGGGTATTGGGAGATGAAGATCCTCTATTTCAGCTGGCGAACAGAGGCCTACTCCTCCCTGGTGAGCTTAGAGCTGGGACATCCTCAGTGGCTCCTCTATGGAGGGCAGGGGAGGACTAGATACAAAATTTGAGGGATTGGAGGAAGAGTACTGGAGAATATGGATGAACCCCTCCCCCATCCCATGCCTGCCCAACTGAGACAAAACAAAACACAGTGACAAACAAGGCTGCTCCCTTCCCTCCAGACTCCCTAAGGGAGGGAGCCTCCCCCTCCTCCCATCCAAGGCAGCTGCTCTAGTGTAGGGCTTGTAAAGAATATACACATCATGGGGGGAGAAGGGCGCTGGGTTTGAAGGAGTCACAAGCACTAGGAGGGCAGGCCAGACTCCTGGAGGATGGGGAGACAGACAACAGCTGGGAGCTGTTACAAAGGTGAGGCCATCAATGGCCCCCTACCCCATGGCATGCCTTCCCCAACTCCAGTCACCCCCGAGGAAAAGGGAAGAGAGATGGCAAAGTGTCTCCTTGGTCTGAAGCTCTCAAACTATATAAAATGATGTGTAACCCCCCTACCCTACCCCCACACTCACCTCCACCTGGACCCTAAACCCCCATCTGCCAGGAATAGGGAGGTAGCTGGACTTTTAATAAGGGGAAGAGGGGGGACATGAGTGATTTTTTTTAAACTTACATTTTTAATAATATTATTTTTTTAAAAAACGTGAAGCTGGGAGGTGGTAAAAGGGAGGAGCCCAGAGTTGTACCCCTCTATTACCAGCCACCTAGGTGAAGGGCCTGGGGGAGGAGTGCTCAACCAAGCCCCATAAATTTAAGTCCCTAGGAGCTGTGGGTATAGACAACCCCAGGCTTGAAGGGGGCAGTCAGGAGGATGGGGAACCCAGAACCTGGGGTGAAGATGGAGGCAAATGCTCTGGGCGTGGTCAGAACATTTCTCAGAGGCCCAGGGTCCATGTAGGCATCCACATGAGTACCCCCCTTCCCCCAAAAGGCTCTGCAGAGGCCAGGCCCAGCCCAGGGCCACTGCGGGGCAAAGCTTGGCACCTGCCCCCAGTGAGTCCAGTTCCTCCCTGAAGTGGGTGGATGGAGGCTGCCCATTTTAGATGCTCAGTCTCTTCATTCTGTCTTCTGCTCCCTGGGGCTTCGAGGGGTGGGGCAGGTAGGCAGAGCGCTGCGTGGCCCTGGTGAGGCCTTTACTGGGAGGCTTGTGATGTGGGGTTCTCCGATTTGCTTTCTTGGCTGGATGGAGGCTTGCTGTTCCAGGGGCTGTTGGCGCCCAGGGCAGGGGAGTTGTTAAAGCTGTCCTCGTCGTCAATGCCGTTGGCCGCGTCAAACTGGGTATTCTCCAGCCGGGTGATGAGCCTCTCGTCCTCGTCCCCGAACTCCCCGCCCATCAGGGTGGGCTCCCCCACCACCATCACATCCTGAGAGTGGCGGAGGTCCCCAAACATAATCGGGGCAGGGGCTCGCCCGGCCCAGGGCGGCAGAAACCCCCCAGAACCCCAATACCCACCCAAGAAACTCAACACCCCCTCCCCCTTCTCATATCCCAATTTCAAACATCGACTCCTCTAGTCCCTGAATCCTTCCCACTGAAGGACTGCAGAGCATCACACCCTTTAACCCACATCCACTAGAATCTGGGAAGTCAATTTACTCCCCTAGCTCCCTATTCCATCTCCCCCAAATTTTAGGTGGCTCCTAAACTTCTGTCCACATGTAAGAGAGGGAGCAGATAAAAAACACCAATGGGGAAAGTATGTGCATGTGCATGTCGGTGTATTGTAGATTCACACATATTGAGGCTGCATAGCCCTCTATCAATGTGAATGTCTCTGATGGTCTGTGTGCCCCTAAGCTGTCTGTCCTGAACGTCCGTATGTTATCATATCTGACTCTGTCCCTTTATATCTATATTGCTATGTCTGAGTCTGTGTGACCACAACTGTGCATGTGACTACTAAGGACTCATCAGTGCTAAGAGTCAGCCCATACTGGCAGAGTACATTGGTAAAAACCGTCTGTGCTTCTATGCCTGCTAGTGAGCTCACAATGGGACAGGGTCAAGGGTCAGGGGTCAGCAGTGGGGCAGCCCAGAAGAGAGAAGAAAGCCGAGATGCTTACAGGTACCTGGCTGGAGAGGGCGAAGGTGCTGGCTGGGCTTTTCTTCTTGCTGTTGCTGTTGTTGGTGTTGCCACCCCCCGAACTCATGGTGCTGCCCCCTGACATCTTCCGTTTCCGCCGTTTGCTGGGCTGCTGCCGGGCGGGCTCCGCTGTGCCAGAAAAAGGAAACTGAGGTGGGGCAGGGTCCTGGGGCCCTGGCTCCCTATTCTGGCTCCAAAGGAGCCTGAGCCTACCCTGATCCCAATCTTGCAGACCCAGGGGCAAGAAAAGGGCTTCAGGAGAAGAAACAGCCTTAGGGGATGGCATCAGATCCTGGTAAGAACAGGTGCAGGTGCAAGGCACTCACCGGGGGGTGCTACCATACGCTGCCACTTCTGGAAAAGGCAGGTCTTGAGGCAGTCACGAGGGCTGAGGCTGTAGGTCTTGTGGCGGGACATGAGCTCCTGCATGGGCTCGAGTATCACACAGAGCTGTAGGGAGACCAGAAGGGGGCTTTTCAGGGGAGAGACATGGAACTGAGACCAAATGGAATGGGCCAGAGACTGGGTGATCAGACTCACTCGGAGGTAGTTGAGAGTGGAATTGGACAGCCCACAGCGTGTGATATTTTTGGAGAGCTGATCCAACATCTGGGGGTCCTGGGCCTACAGGGGGAGAAAGAATACTAGCACTTGGGGTGCAACTGCTCACCTGCCCTATCATCTGAGCCTGTGACACTCCTGAAAGAGAAGAGGGGCTAGTATTCAATCATGTTTTAGGTGGAGAAACTGGAGAATATGGATGAACCCTCTAAGGTCACTGTCAAGAAATAGCAGACCTTATTCCATCCTTCCCACTGTGTGCCCTCCCCCTTGTGTCTTGGGTTCTGCCCACACTCACATGCATGGCAAGGATGCTGCGGGGGATGAGCTCCCGGTGCTGCCGGATGCTGAAGTGCCATGTCTTTATCCGCATCATGTCATCAAACATGAACTCCAGGTACAACCGCCCCTCCACACATACCTGGAGACAAGGTTGTCACAGCTCTGCCCCCTCCCCATACCTGAAAGTATACCTGTTCTCCCATTTGCTCACAACTCCCCCAACTGCATATACTTCTGCTCCCTGCACCTAAATCTGGGTATGTAACTGACATGGACTATCCCCTCACATACCTGTCACACCCTTGACCCTTACACATATACACATACACATAGAAATGCTTAACTGATCCTGTCTTCTCCAATGTAGCTAGTGATACACTCATCTGCTATGAGCTTTCTATTAGGGCAGGCTCTTGTTCACTGGTGTACATACCCCCGTGGCCTAGAATACAGTCATGTACAAGCTCAGTAAATGCCTGCTGAATGCTGCAGCACACCTGTTCTCCCTTCTTGTCTGATAACTTCCCATTACGCCTTCGGGGGGAACAGCTGAGTACATTTTGGGAAAGAGGAAGGGGCCTAGAATACAGTCATGTACAAGCTCAGTAAATGCCTGCTGAATGCTGCAGCACACCTGTTCTCCCTTGTCTGATAACTTCCCATTATGCCTCCTTGGGGAACAGCTGAGTACATTTTGGGAAAGAGGAAGGGAATCAAACTCAGGTGCTTCAGCATTCCACATCCAGCTGGATTGCTGACCTGGGTGAACATGGGTTTGCCGTGCTGGGTCACCATGCTGCCCTGGTCACAGTCGAGGGACACAAAGTTGCTGTGGAATGCCTCCTTGGGGTGCTTAAGCACATAGTACAGCTCTGTAGCACCACCCTCAAAGATGCTGCGGAAGTAGCGTGGGATGAGGGTCCGGCCAATGGCTGTAGAGATGGGAAAAACTCTTTAGAATAGAAGGACCTCAAAAGGGGTCAGGCAGATGCCATCCCTGCCAAAACAGATACCCTGAGACAAATACCCACTCCCAGACCTCAATGAAAATACATCCTGCATATCAGATATTTACATTACGATTCATAACAGTAGCAAAATTACAGTTATGAAGTAGCAATGAAAATAATTTTATGGTTGGGGGTCACCACAACATGAGGAACTGTATTAAAGGGTCTCGGCATTAGGAAGGTTGAGAACCACTGCCTTAGAAGGACACAGGAGGTATACACTCCCACAGCAGAACTGGCAGAACCCCCAGAGGCCACTCACTGTATCTCTTTGGTCCATCCTCCAGACAGAAAGTGATGGTTAACATGGCATCATCCTCAAAGAACTCAGTTGTGAAAGCATCCCACCAGAGATTGTCACACTCCTAAGAGCACAGGGAGAGGTATTTGTGTGTGTATCAGAAGATATCCCACAGGGGTGCCCAGATGGCCCTCACCCTCCTCTTTCCCCTGGATACCTCTGTCCAGTTTTGAAGCCGTTTGTTAAGCTCGAATATTCTGTAGTCAGTTTGGTTGCCATATGGTGTGTGCCTTCTGGGGTAAGTGTAGAAGGAAGTTAGTAGGAGCAGAGCCTCCTCCCCACCCCCACCTCTGCCTTCACCCATGTAATAGAAAGTACCTCCCACCCCATTGGACTCCACTTACCCAATCCCAGGCTCCAGGTATGTAGGCGGGTACATGGGAGTTGGGCTGTATAAGGGAAGAGGCTATGAGAATGGGGGTGGAAGACAGGAATTATTGGGAGATGTCACTCCCTCCCCTTTTCAGGCAGGATCCCATCTGGAAAAGGGCTGAGAAGTGAACAAGACTCACCCCACATCCCGATCTAGCATGGTGCCGGGATGGAAGGGAGGGAAGGCGTTGCCGTTCGGGGGCTCCTTCGGTGAGTACAGCTTGAATGACTTTGAGGAACAACCTGGAATGGAAATGAAGAAGGGGCATCCTGAGTCCCTCTTAGGAGCTCTCCTAAAGTTTGCTAGACTGTGTGGACAGTGAACTAGGGGAGGGGAACTACCCTAGGGAGTACCTATCTCTGCTTTTAAATCTGGCTCCAATCTTGTTTTATTAAGAAACTAGAAGTACCCAGGCCCAATACCCAAGACCTTATTTCTTCATGTGGCTGAGGCCTGGATGATAAAATTGAAACTGGGAAGAAATGTCAATACCATAGAATAAATAAATATCTAAGCATTATAATCTAATTTTGACAAACCCCCTTTTCAACTACATTATTTTGTTCAATCATCACAACCACGATGTGAGCAGGGTCAACTGTAACATTCCCATTTTACAGATTAGCCAATTGAAAGCTCAAGAGGACTTGCCAAGATCATAAAGCTAGGATTTGAGCCCAGATCTTCTGATTATTCCCATATCCTGCAGTATTTCTACCTTTCTGTTCCCTCTGAAGATCAAGTCATGGGAGAAAGAAAGGGAATTTGGACAACTCCCTGCCCCTCCTCCACACCCAGGGTCTCAGGAGGGTAGGGGATGGAAAGATAAAGGGGGGTGGGTGCCTGCTGGGTGCTGCAGACCAGATAACCACTTGAGCCTTCTGTCCCGCCTCCCTGCAACCCCCCTCCAACGGCCACTCCCTTATCAGCCAGCCCCCTCCCTCACACCTACCACCAATCTAGTATTGTCTCCAAACCAGAAACCCAAAGCCTCAACCCATTTTGTCTTTGAGACTTACAGTCACTGGATCGTGCTCTACTTACAAAAGGAAAAGAGGAGGCATAGGAAGGAGACTAGCTTCCAGGAGGCTCCATCTAAGAGGCAGGTGGTAACTAGACAGGGATCTCTACTTGTATCAGTGCTCCTCTCTACCTCACCTCACCCAGCAACACTCAGTTCCTAGTGTACTATATCACCTGACTGGAAGAAGTGTTATATTCATAGCTGGGTATGAGCCAGGTACCCCTGTAATGCTATTTTCCCTCTCCCTACAAGATGAGGGGAAACTGAGGCACCATTCCAAAGGTCCCGACCCCAGTTACAGGTGCTTCCTCGTCCCCAAACTTGATTACATTTGGAAGGGTAGCTGTATTGGTTGTGTCTGAGCCTCCTCCTCAATTTAGACACAAAATCTACTTTGTCCTTAGGGGGAAGAGACAAAGGAAGACCCTGTGCCAATGTGTCATTTAATTCTCTCCCCAGGGACCTTCCTCACAACACAGGCAAAAGGAGGGTCCCAGAAGGGCCTACACTATACAGTCCCCGAAGAAGCCAAGAGTCAGAGCCTGTGTGTGCCTGCACACATGTGTGCCTCATCTTGCCTAGCAGGCTTCTACCCTCAGCTCGCCCCAACATGCCTACCAAGGGCTGGAACCCAGCAGCCCCAGGCAGGATCAGAATGCCCAAAACAGGCCCTCGCCCCATGCATGAGCTCACACAGGCCACGTCCGTGTTCCCAGCACAGCACACACAGCCTTCACATGCCTGTCTGAACTGAATGAGGAGCCTGTGTCCTCAAGAAAAGGGATAGTCCCACCCAGCCCCAAGTCTCCCCACTCCACAGACAGGTAGACCAAAGCCCCGTAGGAAGCCCAAACTCACACAGCTCGCCACAGGCCAGGCCTGGCCTTAACTAGGCCATCCTTCCCCTAAAAGCATCACTGCCCTTGCCCTTAGTTTCAGGGCTACTTGGAGAAATGTGTCAGCTCAAGACCCTAAAAAGAAGGGAGGCAGGACACCTGGGTTCCTCTTTAATTCTGAAAAAAGTTTCAGAACTTCAATTTCTCTCACTAGCAAACTGACAGGCATTGTCTGGGGTTGGGTAACAGTTCTGAAGAGGAAAAATTCAAAGCTCTGTGGACTCTATTTACACCTCCAGTGAATGGACACAAAAACTCAGCACCTCTCCAGAGGCATAGCAACTCCCAGTAGCCCCAGCACAAGGGCTTGGGAGTGAGAAGAGAAGGGGAGGGAACATCACCCAGACCATCTGTCCCTGTTGCTGCCTGTCCCCTGCAGCAGGGGTAGAGGGAGCAAAGTGGGGGTGGGGATGAAAGGGATGTGTCATCCAGACTTGGAGTCAAACAGAGCCTCCTTCCAATCTCTAGCAATATGGGAAACCTTTAGGAAGAAGGAGAAAGGGAGAGCCCAGAACTAGTAAAGTTTTCTCAGGATGCAAGCTGCATCCTAAGGCGGAGGGGGGCACCTCCAGCTGGGCATTTCCATGGTAACCAGCCTGACTTGAGGGCAGGCTCCCTCCCTTTGGGGCTGACCAGAGGTCAGCAGGCCTGGGAGCCCTGGCCTCTCTGAGTTGAGGCACCGCTCCCCCAGCCAGCACACCAGGCCAGGGCCAGACCCAGGACCTTCTACCCACCCCCTACAGGCTTGCAGGGTGCTCAGACTTACCTGGGAGAACTGAGGGGCCCAAGAGAGGTGCGGGGAGCAACTGGCAGCCCACCAGGGCCCTGGCAGGGGTGAGGACTGAAGGGGGGCCAACTTCAGCCGCTCATGTCCCGAGTGGGACGGGCAGGCCTGGCTGGGAGCTCCACTCTGCGGGCCGCACAAAGACTCCACGCACTGCCTTGGCCTGCCCCGTGGCGGCCACAGCCCCGGGGGAAAGTTATA